TAGAAACCAATACTTAACAATGCTTTCTGCGGACCTATGAGGCAGAGAAAACAGCATCTCAAAGGAAATAGTTTTACAGCTAACATCCAAGAGACATACAACTTGCTTGTGCCAAGGAAAACGTGAATATTGCATTGTAGCTTTGCCACAGTAACTATTCAAATTTGGGTTTCCTTTTTTATACACTCTGTATATCAACTTTCATATAGACAAATTCCCTTAATAATGAAGGCGGAATTTTATAGACTGGAGTGTAATCATTGGTTTATACGTCAATCCCCAAGAAAGGAAATGGTCATAACCTGAGGTTCACATCCCCCTTCACAGCCCTTGGAAGGCAGAAAAGCAGATGGCCACTTTTTGGATGCCTTTGTAAAATTGCTCTTCCGGTATCGAAAAAGCAAAAAGTAGAATTCAAAGTTATTGTCAAACGTTCGATCCTCATTTCTGCCCGTTCGAAAGGAGAAATGCAGATGGCCGCTTTTTGGCCGCCAGCGAACGAAGAAAAAGTAAAATCTGCTTTTCTTGAATAAAAAGCAGAAAAATAGAAAAATGCAAAACCAAACAATGTTCGATCTGCTATTTGAGATGGCAGAAAAGTAGAAAAGTCGAATTTGCATATTACGAGAACATAAAATCTGCTTTTCTACCATTCTGATAGCAGACAAGCAGATGGCCACTTTTCGTCCTCCATAATTGTACGGAGGGACTTGTTCACCGACATACAGCAAAGAAAACGGGTAACCTACCCAGGAACACTGTTTACCGTAAAACCCAAGAACGACTGACTCGTTTATAAACTAAAAACAATGAAACATTCGAACCCGCAATGTGTTTAGACATGACCGTGTTTAACATGATTATAAGGTATTTATCATCGGGACACGCTTGTTTATAGCGCAGAATTCCTTATTTTCCGCCAATACACTTGAGTGCCGATGGAATTCAAATCTCATGTCGTAAGTGGTTGATTTAAGCTGATATAACGTTTAACATATGGGTGAAAATTGGGTTATTACCTGATTATCACACCAAAAAATAAACACCGTCAGTCGCGCCGCCCGCGTATTTTTTCCCAAAGGAGATCCAACAGTTTTGAAAGAGGGCGCCCTCTGTATTATGCATTATTCATAATTCTGTCCGGCTGTAAGGAGTGGTTATACAATAAGGTAGAAAGTTTTTAATTTCACAGGAGCTTGATGGCATCCAATGTGCGAATAGACCTTTTCACTAATAAATTCATGCATGCACACAAACGGCCTTGGCAAGAAGTGTGAGCGGGCCATTGAAAATGTACAGGGGTGCGACTTTGATGATCATTTTCTCTCAGGTTTTCTGGCTTAGTTCATTTTTTTCTTCAGGATATCCCAATTGTGTTTACTATTAGTTTCTAAATTAAGTGGAATTCTTAGTGCTCTGTAAAAGACTTTATAATAGTAGTTTTTCCCGTGCGCACGAGATCGCTGTTTCTTATTATGGACCCCTTCACGGTAACGGTACATGTACCTTGCTCATCGGTACGTGTTTTTACAAATGCACAGGTTGACTCCAAGAACACTGACAATGTAATTTATACTATTTATAATGGAAGGGGGACATACTAAGAGACGGCGATCTCAGTGGTGTAAATTTGTGCCAAACCATGGGGGATGGGGAAAGATGGGTGGGACGACTTGCCCGACCATGAAAATTTGAAAACAGGGGGAGGTGACACCATATGACTCTATATGTTCATAATATTGTACATTATTCAAAATGGCATATTTGCGGCTTTTGGATTGGATCTTTGTGCTATTAAATGCATTTTAATCGTTGGAAGACTTTAAAAATTCTTCAAAATCCGCTTTAAGTTTTTTGTTTGCCACAAACCAGTGCAGGGATGACTGAATAGCCGGTCCCCCACTTCAAAAAGTGGCGGAATATACCCCCATCCCCGGGATTTACGCCCATGGAGTTTATGAAGTTTTAATTGGAGTGAGGACGGAAGTAATCTCACATTTTATCGTTTGCAGTTATCTGTTTTCTCAGTGAAATGTGTAATACGTAGTCTTAAGAAACAGGCCCTATATATTATTTTCTTTTAGCGTTGTCTGCCAGCGAAAACTTACTGATGATGCGCAGTTCTAAATCAGCTCCGTTTGGGCAATTTGACACGAAAATAATTATATACAACGACGTGTGCTAACCACGTTGTCTCGTTTCCGCCGAATTGGAATGCCCCCGGATAGAGAACCCTGGATCTCCTTAATGTTTGATTTGTTGTGGACCGATTTTCACTTTCTGATCATGCCTCACTATTCAAACACGCTTACAGTCTAACAGTCATTTAATTTGAAGATTTTTTTAATTTCTATATCAAACAACAAACTGCAGAATTCAAGTAAATCCTGGCATTGTTTTAAAGCAATGAAACAAGGGAAAAATCTATAAGGTGATGCATTTAATCTTATGTAATTCCTAAAATTTAAGATTATTGTCATCTGTGACCCTCAGTCATTACATAATCAGATAACAACCCATTATGTACTTTTACCCATACTTTGCTTTCAAAACTACATTGCTCTCTGTCAACTCTTCAGCAATTTACAAATTAGTTGCAGTATTTCTATTAACTGTTATTTTTTCGACAACTGCACAGCAAGTGGAGCACTCTTTTGCAAAGACAAAATAGAATTTTAGATTCGAAAACGTGAAGCAAAGTATTGTTGTAATAACTGCAACAGCTACCTTTTCTGTTTTGACTACTTCCCTTTTGTTTAGGTAGAGCGTGCCACCTGACGCTATAGATCGATTTGTAAATCAAAGTATTTATATGGATATTTCCCCAAAGGCATGATATTGGTGAACCGAATAACAGGCCTACCACTAAAAGCACTCCGCAACCGTTTTTATAACATTGTTCAGCTATTAATTCGGGGACTTCTTCAGGAGCAAAATACATGTATAATCTTTTTGCGTATTCGTTTTTTCGGCATTGGATCGGTGATATCTGTGCTTTTCTTCCAGAAAACCTGTCTCGGAAATAGTGAACGAGGCGTCGGAGGAACTAAACCTGAAAAAAATTGTACCCTCGACTTTGTCGGATATTCATATACACTTGTCACAACTCTACTGAAATCAAGCGAGAAATAATTTGAAAGAGGATTTTTTTCGCAATCGGTAAGTTTCTTTATATAATTTCCAGGTACCAACAAAAAATTATTTTTCCTACAAGAGTTATTGGTAAAACAAATTTGTTCCATTACTCCTTTTTTTCATCGACAGAATCAAGTCACGGAGCACAACAGAATGGTTGTTAACCAAACACTTCAAGTCCTGGTCGTTCTACAGACGGTAGTTATACTCATAGTTTTTGTGTGTAAGTTTTTGGTTCATTTCTTTATTTGTTTTGCTTGTCCTTTTGTGGGTTTTTCGGTTATTAAATCCACAACCGGGCAAAACATACTTATGGACAGATTGGTTGAAGTTGACGGATGAACACAAGTTCTGGCAAAACTCACTTGGGTATTATCTTGTCATCACGCTGGGACTCAAAGGGCTTTTTGTTTATAGAGCATACCTTTCCGTGGTTTAATTTTTTGAGCCCTTGGATCATACTATCTATGCAATGACTGAATAGGAGACGACCATCATCGTGCACGCGGTGGCTGATTTTTTGTTAATCCATTATTGCTGCAAAGACAACCAATGCTGTGAGGCGCCCTATACTTTTTCCAATAGAGCTTAAAAGTAAAAGGTCACGCAGCGAGCTTCCAGAACCCTTGCGCGGTCTGCCTATGGGATTTTACATTTGGCCGTCCTATCACGTTCGATAATTTTTGGAAAAATAATTCCTTACTGAAACCACCCAAGAAACACTCATAATGGAATTATTATTATTTAGGAAAAGTCACCTGGAGAAGTATAAAAAATGAATTTTATTAACGGCCTTTCACGTCCAGCGATATCGTACATGTACCTAGGTCAACTTGTTCATGCACGTTTGTTTTCACTCGCCGTGATTTCTTGAAAACGAGATTGTACAACCTTGCAAATATTTACTTGTCTGCAGTCGATAGGTTCCAGATTCCGTTGAGTTGACATCGCGCAACTTAAAAGTTTTGTGTAAAAACAGAGTTCTCGTGAAGCTTCTTGTCACAGCCATGATACGGCAGCCAACTAGTGACTGAACTCTCAAGAATCCCATTGATGCAGAGTTTTGCACTCAAACATATTCTGGGCCTCATGAAGAGACCCAGTGATACTCAGCCTCGATCTCAACACGCTAACCAGACGCAGCTGGATCCACTCAGAATAGGAACAAGAGAACGCGTATTTTGACAGAGCAACGACGTCCTATGAACATTATTCCACCGTGCAATGTTGATTTCAGTTGATTTGATTTAAACACTTTGTATTAGAAACTCAACCATTTATGAGATTTAAATAAGGACTGCATGCAGTCGACGAGTTTAACATCGAACGCTTTGCTTTCAGTTGTAAAGTTATGTTTTTACCGACAACCCTTGCGCACTTTTTGCTAACGTCGGTAGTCCCCTTTCAATGGCAAATCCAGAGCGAATTTTGGGAGGCAAACACTTTTATGGAGCAATAATTTGAGAATCTCTTTATGTGCCCTTTGCGGCTATTCAGGAGATCGAGGAGGCTAAATTAAGGAGGAATTTTGCACGTTTTGTGAACGAGATTAAAAAGTAGCGCCATTTCTCAGCCACGGTTCCCTATGTTCATTGTAAAGTTTTCAAATGAGCACCAAAGGCCCTACCGTAATTTTGTTCAAGATTTACCTCCAAAGCGACGACGTTATCAGACGTCAGTCATCAAGTCAGTTTATGCTTATGTGGTCGATCAACCGGTATGTTTGCTTATTAAGCTGTACCGTTAGCAGCGTCGCAAGCCCCAGCTGTATTTTTTAATACAACACGTTGGGAAACCCGACTTGAATACAGGCTTTAATCATGGCACTGGATATGTTTTTTTACTGGGGAAACTTCCAGGAGAAACTTCCACGAAGCACAAAGACTAGTCTCCAGTCAAGAACAATTTTCCTAGGAACGTTCGTTGTGTATTCCCAGAAGGTTTTGTGTACTAAAAAAATCGCGCCCCTACCGGGCCATTTGCTAAGTCAGGTACTTTTATATAAACGTGCGCCACATGAACAGTAGCTCCTTTTTCTTCCTATTAACTTTCTAAGCTAAAGTTTATGTGTTATTTGCTAAAATGCAGTGTTCCGTTCGGAACGCGTGTTCCCAGTGTAGCGATGCCGCTGTTATATTCGCAATCGGGAAGAAAGATTTCTGACATTCCTTTTCTAGACCCTGTGTCTGAAGCACGGCAGCTAGAGCACAGCATTCTGTGATTTACTCCTCGTGAAGGTTACCTTTTCTCCCGTTTTTCCTTTCCATATTCACCCCCAAAGATACCTTACCATGCAATGAATTTAGAGTATTTCTGGACACCGTTAATTATATGAAGCTACCCGAATGAGAACGTTCCGACGAGAATGTGTGGTCCCGTCAGACCGTTCTCACTAAGGAACACAGTGTTCCATGTGGAACGCGACTGAATGCCCAAATGCTTCCACTTCCCTTTGTTATTACATCAAGGAGCCTCGTCCACCTAGTACGCCTACAATGCATAAGCATGCCATTTGTGGTCGATCTTATTGAGAATACATTGATCCTTACTGTGGACCTATTAAATAAAACAGTACGCTCATATTATTGTGCGTACGGTCCACACAAAGGAAACAATAACTTTGCTGGTTCTCTTAGAAAAAGAATTTGTCCAAATTTAGTAAAACGGACAACACAAAAAAATAACTTAGACATAATTAAAGACTTCAAAATCGTGATTCTTCCCTGTCATGCGGGTTTCTCTTATTTCAAATGTTTAAAGTATTTTCTATGCATTAAAAAAGAAGAACAAATAAGTGACGAGCTCCTCTTCGAATAACAGAAACCTAACACCCAGAGTTTTAAAATAATGTTTGCTCCATTCTATGTGGGCTGTCATTTTATGCTAAAACCGATATGATTAACCTTAGGTTTACTCAACATTATGGTGCAACCTAACAAGCACTTCAAGTCTTCCCAAACATAAAGAACCTTCTTTACAGAGTTTTCTGATCCGTCCTAAAAGATGTGTTGAAGCTAAAAGCTAAGTTATTGGCATACTGAGACATTTTGTAAAAGATGTCGTTTTACACCTGAGAACTAGACACCCAAAGGACCGTCGTTGCTATGTATAAAAACACGCCCTCGGTTGCTCCCGCCGCAAGCAAACGGTGACAGAAATTAAGGCTGGTTCATACTTTGCGCAGAGGCGAAAACAAACGCGAATTTATGACGTCAGGTCAGAATTGGCGCTGCGGATTTGCAGAAGTTGAACACATTCTTATTCGAAATTTCTAGTATCGAAAGGTCAAATTTGCTTCGCTTTCACATTCCTGTTGTAGAAACCGACCTTAAAAAAATTAAGTGGGTAAACGAAGTTGTGTTTATAATTTCCTTAAGCAGAATCAAACATAAAGCTCTCAACTGGTCATTTCGAACACAATGAAGTACATGTACCTGTCCTGTCTTTTCATTTTCTCGTTTCTTTACTTTCTTTTCCCTTCAACAACTTTGATTTGTGTGGAAAGTGTTTGCTGAAGACGTTGCTGGAAACATAAAACCCAAGATGAACGCAATACAAATGCAAGAAATGCAAGAGTTTGCAGTGCTTGTTTCTAACAATTAAAAATACAAATTTTCAGCGAAGTTAAAGATAATCACAATCAAGCTTAATGTGTTCATTTTTCAGACTGGTCCCATAAGAGTCACACATGTGTGATTATGAAGCCTGCAGTGAAATACGAAGCTGTGGAAAATATAAAGACAAGTCTGTTCCCGGCAGTCGGCACCAGGGAGCGTGGACAGCTGTCTAACTGCACGCTTCAGGATATTATGAAGCGACAAGGTGTGGTGATGCTAACCACCACTAACCTTGGTTATCTAGACCTGTCCCTAAATATGTTGGCTAGTATCCGTAAAGTAGGTGTCTGTGTCAACACAACCATAATTGCAGAGGACAAGACGGTTTACAAGTATCTGCGCAGCAAGGCCGAGGGGGACCCAGCAGTACACGTGGTCATGACTAACTCTGGTGAAGTGCAGAGTAGGGAGGTGTGGAGCAAAGATTTCATTAACTACTTTGGCCTACTGAAGAAACGGCAGCGGTACTTTCTGAGCCTGCTAAAACAAGGCTTGGAGGTCCTTTTCACTGACTCCGACACATTTTGGTTTAGTGACCCATTTCCATATTTCCAGGGAGACTTTGATATGTCGATGGTGGACCAGAAATCACCTTACCCCACTCGCGCTCTAAATGCTAGTTATTGCGCCGGTTTTATATACCTTAGGCCGACCAACACGACGCTCCAGTTTGTTAGGAAGTGGATTATGTCACTGGAGGGAAAGAACATCATGGATCAATTTGTGATGAACAGGTTATTGCGGGCTGATCAACCCGTGCATGTCAAAGTACACCCACTGGACATTCATCTTTTTCCATCAGGACCTAAGTTCTATCAACTTTTAGAGCAAAATGCAAACTACTCGGCGGTCGTCATGCATGCTGCAAGTATTCATGGTCACGCTGCCAAGGTGGCTAAATTCAGAAGTTCCAATATGTGGTTAGTCAATGGGACTAGTGAGGAGTTACTTGCTCGTGAGCACTCATTGCACGATAACTAGCTATCCATGTGGCCTTTCAGGGTCATTTTTGATGCTCATCATCTAATCTTTACAGGGTGGGCTCCGGAGGGATTTTTGGCGCTACCAGAAAAGAAAAACTACTGCTACTGCTAAAAAAGATGGATAACGGTGATCTTTCCCACAGTTGATGTGTTGTGTCCACTGCGTTGTAATTGTGTAATCTTGGGTACAAGGATCATCCGTGGTGGTACTACGCGTTCAATATTGTGAGAGATGTGGGGTGTGGAGGACATTGAAGCAAACATGTCCGTTTGCATGTGCTGCTCTCTTCACTCTGACCATGACGGAAACCCGCAGGTTAGTAGACTTCATGTTCGTGCATCCAGCTATGCTCATCGGAACACGGGTATGCTCTTAACGTTGCAACCGCCATTGTTGTTTATAGAAACGCTTGTGTCTTTGTCTCTTCTCGTCTGCTCTTAAATCATGCCAATACTTTTCTACAGAATTTGGTGTAAATAATATAATAATAATAATAAGTGCTTTATGAATCCCGGGTTTCTCAAGTAAAACAGCCTCCCCCATTTCATCTATCAATAATTTTCCTTGTAGTTTAGAATATAATTTGTTGTTCAATGTTTCAATTTGTCAAAGTATTTTAATTTATCTTCCAATAAAATATGCATATATTACACGACTGCTTTAGCGTAATTATGACCATGGTATAAAAAAACAGGCTGCTTTGCCTTGAGTGTCATTTACCCCCTCGGGTGTACAAAACACCATGGACCCCTACACTTCAGGCAACAATAATTGTTAAATGTATATCTAAACTTGATGTAGGCCTGCTCTTACTCCTTTCGTCCTGCAGGCGATAAGCCCACTAGGTTAAAGCACAATACAGCAACACCCATAGATAATATTTTTATGACCAACTCGCAGGATCATGCAATAGGAATCATGTTACCTTTAATAAGTGACAATTGTCCCACTGTTTTTGGCCCTCCGCTTATGAAGTCGAACCATTTAAAACTAGTCACATAAATGATACCCAGCATGATATGTGGGACGGGGACCCCCCCTATGATGCGCCAGCTGTATACCCTAAGGCTATTGTACCTACTGCACCCCCCTCAGAAATCTGAAAGGAATTCCAAAGATTGCACCAACACAAAGAAGACACAATAGAGGGGGTCCCCTTTGCCGCATATCTCGCATCATATGACATAAATAGAAACTTAAAGGAACAATTCTGGTATTCTGGCCTTGAAACCAGTGGCGTATCCAGCGGAGGGAGGGCGGGGGGAAACTTGCCCCCGACGGATGTTTTTAAAATCAAATATGAATAGAAAAATTAAGTGATCAAACATAAGCATCAAAAGTTCAAAACCATAAGAAAACGAATACGAAATGAAAGCAGGGCTGCTGTGACCGTGAGCAAGGCTTTTGATATTTTTCCTCCCCCAATATCACATTGAAGGAGCCTGAAGCCGCATTCGCTTTTGAATTTGCCCCCCCCCCACACACACGCACGCACAAGTGTGTATTTGCCTGCAACTGGGGACCCCCTATTGTTCCTCTTTTGTTTGTAACTTTTTTAGAAGACCACCCATACGTTTTGTACACAGCTGTCAATCGGGGACCCTCTGTCAGTCGGGGACCTTATTGTCCTCTTTTGGTCAGGACCCCCAGTTGAATGCAGAAACAAACTCGTATACACACATACGTACCGAAAGCTGGATACGCCGCTGCTTTAATGTGAATGGGACAGAGTAGACCAAGTAGACATTATTAATGCAAATGACGTGAGTGAGATTATGTCCAGTTTGTTTCTAAATGAAAATATCTCTGGGTCACCCCCGGGCTATTAAAATTATTTAGGGCGAAATACAAACTTTCAAAAATGTACATGTATCTAGATAATCCTTCTGAAATTATAAACTGATGAATGGCAAATTTCAGAACATATTAACGAGGTTACAAACAAAAATTATCTTGGTGCTGAAAAATCAAATGAAGTTCATACCAAGAAAACAAATTAAACAGCTACTGCACAAAAATGTACAAAACCTGCCCCTCTTCAACCCTATTCTATGATGACAACATTACATTCATAATTTCAGAGAAGTCGCTGAAGGTATGAAGAAAAATTAGGTGACACTTCACAAATTGTTGAGATGACTCCATGCTTTAGATTATTAGCCCGCTCAAGGCTGGGCAAGCCACGCAGTATTAACAAAGACGTTACGCAACTGATATGTATGAATGCAGGAAAGAACACAAAGGCACAAGAGAGAAGAGAAGCGGTGTTGGGCATGCTACCTTTCTTTCTCTTATAAACAATCGAAGCAAACACCACAGCTTCACCTCCGCCAGCCATCCTCCGTCCAAGTTTCCTAATTGGATGACTTGACTTCAACGGTGGCGGTACGGGGGAGATGGAGCAGTGGGACTTGCTTCCTAGGATTCCCGTTTACCCCCTCCTCCCGTGTTGTACTTAAAAATTAATTCTCTTCACTCTTTTTGCTGTTCAGAATCACAACTTACTTGACATTGGAGAGTAATATTTTGAGTCACTGAGTTGTCCTATACAGCATTAATGAAGGCTGTGTTCATACTATATGGTGCTCTATATCTGACATCGCGCCGTATTCGACTCGCTTGACCAAGCCTTCGCCAGCTCCTGATGCAGGGAATTTGAGTCCCTTCAAAGTACATCAAGCTCCTACGGGCACCGTACTCGAAGGGTGCAGTCAACTAATTCAAGGGACAATTTCTGCCCAGCTCATTAGCAGGAAAAATGTTCTTTTGAAAAGGAGATTCGTCCTCAACATAATGAGATTGTGTAAATCTTTGAAAGGACCAAGAATTCCGCGGTTCTTTCAACTAATCAATCATTTCGCCCTCAGTCGACTGTCATCATGATTACAAACAGTAGTGACGTGGGATTTCCAAACTTTTCGATTATGCATTAGAGATGCCAGTTCTGAAGTGTTCTCTACTCTTGTATCTTCAAGAAGTACTTGTGTCTGTTACCAGGTGATCCCTCTTTGGGTTCCCAGAGAACAAATCTGTTAATCCACATCTAGGTGACGATGGAAGTGGCCAGCAGCTTTCAATCTTCGGTCTCTTATCTTGAAGTGTTTTTTGGGATATCTCCGCACAGATCTGTGTTTGGTACCTTCTCTTTCCATCTGATGCTCAGATCTCAATGATCTGGTGTAACACCCATTCAGGCTTCTTACAGGTCGTTTGGTCAAGGTCCATGTTTCAGAAAGCAAGTGATTATCTTTATAACAAAGAAGAAATTGACAGAATTGAAGATATTGCCTTTGCAACTTATTACTGTAAATAAGAGATATTACGAAGAATCCTGAGATGAAAGTAAGTGTTCTTTGAGCAACTTTGTGTTTATAAACTTTGTTAGTTCAAAATATGCCCACTACCTATCTGTGCACATTTTCATAAATATTTCATTGTATTTTTACAGCCATCCGGTCTCCAGGATTTCATAAATTACATGTACCTTGTTATAATAGTTTCTATTACCAGGAATGGAAAACAAGAAATCCCAAGAATTGGGACCTAAAATAGTCCTTGTAAATATGACGTTGTATTAACAGCGCGTTCTTTATGTGTTGGGCTGTATTGAGAAAATAAGTGGAACTTGTGATTTAACTTAGAGTACAAGTTTAATAAGAAATGTTATATTGTCATATCCTATGAACATATTGGATGCATGAAGCAAGCAAGTTTGTATCTTGCAAGATATTTTTAACTATGAACTTGCTTGTAAAATGAACTCGGATTAACAAATTAAGATGTGAAAGTAAATTGTGTGTTTATCTACCAATCAATTTTCTTCTATGTATCTGTCACAGGTCGATATCATCGACTGTCGTTTGATTTTTTTATTTAATATATAATTCTGGTTCGCTATGTGGCGTTGTACAAATTGTAAACAAAATATCAAATGTAGTAGTTTATGTGCCACCACATTCCCTGTTGTCCTTATTTATTTATTTGCTGAGTCTCAATCCCACTCGGTTACATTCGTGTCGAAAAATATGAACGCAAGAAAGAGAGATATTACCAGTCCTTCCCACCGTTCACATCCAAGTCCTCCTCCCTGGTGACCGCGTTTGCCCCACGGACAGACCTTTACGTTTTCTTCGCGATTGATCCAAATTAACTTCTCTTTGTCTAAGCATCCCTCGTAGGATTATCGTCCCTTCATTACGCTCACCCCCAATAAACTGGCATCTTTAATCTTTTTATTGCGTTATAGAACCTATGCGAAGAAATAGCCATGGTGACTGTCAGGTGGAGGCAGCGTCGTGTTACTAATCCGGTAGCTTTTAATTGGCATATGGATCCTAAACCTTGTTTGGTGGGCGTGAAAACGCTCATACTCATTTGGGGGATATTGGCACGTCACCAACTTGATTTTTTTTTACTTTTCTTTAAATAAATAGCTCCGTTGTATAACGTTCAGAGGCCCACATTCATGCTGAATAAACCAATCGTGGATCCAAGAAAGGTGCTTTGTATCATTTGGTCTCGTTATTGGTGTCGCATCATTTTCTTATTAATTATTTCAAGAAACGCACAAACAGCGTAGGCCTATCACTTTCGGATAGCCCCCTAAGGAACAACTCCTGTAGTTCGCTGTATCATTCGCTTCCAAATTACGTGGCTATTATGTAAGAATAATCTTCATCCAAGCTTAAGTCTGGTTTGTAATGTTTGGACTTGGCGTATTAAAGAGGTACAACACACTGCAGAAACTCATGTTGGAATATCAATGCGAGGGGGATCGCAGTGAGATTTGACCATAAAGTGTGACAAACCTAGCAGTTGTCACCCAGACGTTGCGGTGTGTGCATCGTGCATCTCTGAGGTTAGCAAAATGAAATCTGTCTCCATGCCTTCACCGAAGTTCATAGACATGTAATGTGTATTTTTGCGGCTGTGCACACCCCGATCGTAGTATCGCGCAGATGACATTTCGGTTGCAACTTTCTAACGTCAGTTATAAAGACACGTTTTAATTAACTTCCTATAAGGACGCTTCTATATAACACTTTATCAGTAATTTATTGATATAAATCGTTTAAATAAATAAAATATGATCACAGCACATAGGCCTAAGTGAAATGATAAAAATCCGAAATCATTTTGTTTTCAATCCAACACAAATCTTCACATCCTGCACATATTTGAGCCAAAGAAAAGATACTTTATACCAATTTTCTTGAATTACAATGCTCCCAAATGAATAAGGGTGAAGGAACAGAGGTGAGATTGAATACTGTAACTAAACATAGCGACGTTACCAAACAAAATTACTCAACAGTGTTGAAGTCTCAAGTCCGTGCCTAAGTTCCTTCACGAGTCCAGACAAAAGTAACAGAGTGAATGATAACAAAGAAACGCTTTTGTCGCAATAATGATGGCCAATTGATGGACTCCATGGACTTGTGATGGACTAGACTGCACCACTTTATACATAGTTTTCTACCAAATATGCAGGGGCGTTGCATCAACCGAAAAAAACCCACGTGATCAAGGTTAAGCGTTTTCAGACTCACTTTCATCTATTCAGTACAGTTTAATAAATAAATAGCTCTGATATATCACACGTTAGGTGATTTAACAAGCAATAGCGCTATGAACATTACTCTACCTGTGTTCATTCCTTTCCTGGTTCTCTGCCTGAATAATTTGTTAAATGCGTGTATCTAACAGGTACTTAAACACACAGGTAGTTATATAATCAAGGAAATACCTCAACCGATAATGACAACTACTTTTATATAGTACATACAGACAACTTAAGGCTGACGAAATCTAAAACTGCAATTAACGTATGCTAGATCACTTATCACGTTAGTGCGCCTTCTTTCGCCCGCGAAAACCTGCAGCCTAATGTCGCCGGAAAACTGACCAAAATCTCGACACAAATCTGCCCTATTTGGGCCCGAGTGCCAGAAGAAACTATCACAGTCAGGTGTCGTAGCTGACTGGTGAGCTTACGGTTGTATTTGTTATTTTTTTGTTCTAAATAGAACAGTGTTTTTGCAGTTATACACGTTGAAAGTTCTAACCTTGCCAGTTGGAATCTGCACGTTACACACGACTGTGGGGACGCCATATTTAGACCACACGGCTTATGCAATCCATTTTGATCAGTGCAGTGTCTATTTAGCGCATTTATAAATACACACGTACAATTACATGTATAGGTATCACATCTCTGCTGGGCGAAACTCATAGTATTAATCTGTAAAGAGAACCTTGTTAGTGCCAAAACAATTTCGGGCATTCACGGGAGAAATTTAAGCCATAATTCTCACCATTTATGATTTATAGAGAGTTCCCGCTTAGAAGTAAGAATTGCAGAATACCAACAATATTTCATGTTTTCAGTTTGGCTCGGAATTCACAGCTTGGATCGTAACATGAATGAAACATTAATATTTCTGAGTCCATAACTACAACTTGGAGCATTTTCTACTTACAGTGTACAATGCATGTACGAGACAACCCAATTTTTGTTTCATATGTGATAGGTTTGTTCACTTTTTTACATTTAAATTACCTTGGTAAGTTTGTGTTTGTGCTTGCACTATTTAACCTTTAACTATTTGGATAGTTGCAGACAGCAAAGTCAGCAAAGGGCCCGAATGTCAGAGTTCGAGGCGTAGAGCAGTCACATCACGTGAGCATCACTATAAATGTTCTTCTCTAATTAATAGTGCTATTTCTCGACAAATTTCCAAATTTGTTATTGAATATACCGTACTTTAATTGTTGGTAGACTTGATTATGTCTGTATAATTGTTTAAGTTTAGATTTCTCGATAAACTGTGACAACGTACATAAAACCTTTTCTGATTCGAACCAGTTTGTATTTTTCCTTTATTTTTTTTTCAGTCACCAGAGGATAAACAGGTAGTCACTCAGACATGATTGGGACAAATAAACGTTGATAGTCCAATTGATGGTCACGTGTTGCCTGTTTCTGCCGTCTGTGTGAAGTGGCTGAGAGCCCCCCCCCCATAACGGCCTTGGGAGCAGTTAACAACGTATTTATACTAGCAATGACTATTGCCTTAAAATAGCTCTTCAACTGATATTCATTTCATCAGTGTGCCTAAGACTAATGTTTGGGTACATACCGCCAGTCTCGTGACACATAGTTATTTTAATCATGAATATTTCATAGAACGCAGTGGGTTGTGTTTAATCATGCTTAGCTAAAATATCTTTTGCTTTCACCAAACCCGAAAATAGCACGAGTGTAATAAGCCTTTAGCGAAGTGAATTTGAATAAATCTGGTACACTGAGTTATCTGATTGTGTGCCTTTGTCAATCGAAAACAGTGTATTGGTGCCAGGCGTCTCTTATGTAGCTAATCACGAGGTAAGCAACAGTGTTTTTAGTATGGATAATTCAAACAATGATGTTCACGTGAATTTAAAGAACTCAGTGTACCAGATTTCATTCAAATTTAAGTAACAAAATGCTTATTAATGCCAGTGTTCAAACTCTGGCATCTATAAATCAAAATAGTGTAACGTGGCTTATTTTTCGTGCGAGTTACAACGTCCTTGTAGCCAATAGGTAGTCTGAATGCCTTTCCCCTGCGAAAAGAGCCCAATTTGATAGATAATTATTACCGGGGTATGTGTTTCTAAAGCGCATTTGACAGAATTCTACGTAGAAGTTTTGTAGGGTTTTAGGTTGTTTGGGTATTTTCATTGTTGCTGTTACTGCTGCTGCCGTCAGTCGGTCAGTGTATCGGTCGATCGGTGTGTCAGTCGGTTGGTGTGTCGGTCAGTGTGTTGGTCGGCGTCGGTCAGATGGTGTGTTTGTCGGTCGGTTGGTTGGTCGTTCTGTCTGTCTGTTTTTTCTATTCACTCGGGTTTTTCATGCAACTTTAGTTTAAAGAATTAAAAGCTGTTACCTTAATTTCAACGGCTCCTCTCAGACGAACGATGAAACATCCAAAGTTCTTCAATAAAGTCAGTGTATTAGAACTAATGTGTATCTTCATAGCTTATGAAGATGAGAAAAATTACAGAAAGATTATTCGGAATTTTACGAATAATTTGTGGAGGTTATCGGACATATATGAGGTCGTCTTCATTTTACTTTCAAAGGTAAGTGATTTTAAGATTATTCATCCCATTCAACAAAGTGCTCGGTGTTTTTCACTTCAGTGATACTGGTACACATTCGGAACCCACAAATTAAAGTTTTTACGTACTATATCCCCAATTTAAGTAATTGCGTCGAGTAAGCTACTCATAAATGAATAAGCGCACCTTCTCCAGTTGATTCCATCCGTGATGCAGTGTTCACCGTGTCACCAAACAGACAATAACGAGGCATCTTGAGTCCCACAACACCCGCTACACAGGGACCTGAGACATGTTGTTGGATATGCGAGAAAATAACACACTACTTTTAAGGGGTGATAATGAATTGGATTAGAATGCGTGCAGTCTTTCTGGAAGCTCCGAGAGAACAATGACATAATCTGAACTTTGAAGCTTTTCATGGTGAAGGTAGCAAGCTAGTCGAAGAGGTTTGAGGTAGTACCATGCAAGAATATCTCTTTTATGAGTATGCGTGGTTCTGAAAAGAACTGGGGGGTACTGCTTTTGCTCGAGTACTTTTGTTTGGGTCCCGAGTTAACTTCTTCACACCTCACCGCATCCAGACACAATCAACAGCTTCTGCATTGGAACCTCTGCAGTCTCCCGACGGCGGACAGAGCACACTGTCCGAAACCTTGAGTACCCTCCGGTTCTTTTCAGAACAACACATACTTTATTAAAGAGATATTCTTGCATGGTGGTACTGCGAACATTACAACTAAACAAATGGCATAATCTCCCAAATGTCAATTATTACTGCAGCAAGTAGCAGTATCAAAGTCATTACTCGTTCATCATGGAAAGCAACGGGAAAAGGGGGGCAGGGAATAAGGTTTAGTCTGTGGCTAAATGCAGACAGCTAATAGTCTGGTTCCCTGGTAAAGCAATCTTTTGTAACCTCTGGTAACCCCAGTGGATACAAATAACGAGCGACCTATATTGTTGGGATTGCCAGAAGCTTGCTCTCAGCTTTTGTCAGTGCCTTCAAACATTGAGCAAATAACCAACCATTTCCAGTCAACTTTCGGCCACCATGGGAGTTGTTCAACCAGGTGCAAGTACGTCATTTCAAAGCACAATATCCAGACTTTCCAAGAAGCCGCGATATTAGAACTTGTGAAAACAAGTTGGGTTGTTTCGGAGCATTAGGTTTTGCAGTATGTGAAATGTAATGGGCTTATCTTACCGGTATGTATCCCAGCCCGTAACTGTAATTTCCTGTCTCGCTTATGTCTTATCTTAAATGAGTCTACCGCCTGGATCAGTGCCAGCGCCATGTTGCCAATCTCCCGCGCATGTACATTTCCATTACGGACGGGGACTCCTGAAACCACCATGTAAGCATCTCCAATGGTCTCAACCTAAAAATAAAATAAATAAATAAACCTTCTTTTGAGCTCATAAATCATGAAAGTCAAAGGTTTGGTTTTGAAATCATTCACTGGTATAAAGTTTGTACATTTACATTTGTTCTTAATAACATAGCACAATTTAGGCCTACCTTATAGACGTCAAAATGACCAATGATGCTATCGAAGCACGTATATAAGTCGTTCAACAACATGACTACCTGAACAAAAGGATTATTCATTAAACTACAGTTACTGTGTGCATACAAAGCCACAAGAGATTCAAAGGACGAAGATTTTTGTCTTGTCCGATTGGTTTGACTGCCATGCTTTAGACAATACCTTGTGAACAGTCAAGCTTGCCAGCATAATAACCTATCATTAGCATAAAAATACTACAAATATTGACCAAATAGTGCGTAGAATGCTCTTATTTCACTCTAGTGTACAGATGTCAGACGCAACCAGGAGTTTTCGCACACGCTTGAGGATCATGCACAAGCTCCAATGAACAAAGGGAACCTTATCCACCGCCACTCTAATTATTCTGAGTTAGAACAATAATCGAGGTCTGGAAACATCATTTACACTAATAAACTAATAATAAAAACGGCATACGTCAGTCACGAGAGACATATGCAGTAAGGTATGAGACGGAGAGAACCCGCCCTGCTTTGTGTCGGTCATTGTCTCGCAGGAATCTGGGGAATTCCTTTCAGACACCTTGGGGGATGTGTCAAGTAACAATAGTCTGGAATGTGTATAGGGATTGGACATGTTGGGGTGGTACCCCTCAGTCTCATTTTTTGCTGGGTATAACGAGAGAAGAAATATTTTCAAGATGTAAAGAAATATTGACTGGTAGCAGAACCCCCAGGGAAGCTATCTCCATTATGTGCCAATGTCGTTTACCCATGGATTCACTCGGAAAACTGAGCATAAAAGCCAACAGTACTCGTATGGCGGGGATCCTAGTGGGACAGGGGACACGTCCCTCTCCTCCGAGCATATTTGGAACGGGGACAGATACGGCAATTACCCATTCCCAATAATTTTGCTCGTGTCATATAAATTATGTGGTTCATTAATTGGCTTGTACTTCTGAACAATCAGTCCGATTTTTTTTACCCTTTTTTCCTAGGAGCATGACCATTACTGTAGGAGTTTTACATCGAAACACATACATGTACATGTGCTACAAATGATTCTTGGAACAGTTAAATGAAGAAAAATGTGGGTGGGTCACTAAGTTGGAAGGAGGATGGGTTTGGTGCATGAGTAAATGGCCTCCCCACCCTGTATACTTGAAAAGCCGTCTGGTAATAGCGCATACAAGATTCGCCATTAAGAAGCAACACTAGAGTTTCTTATTTCCATTTGCAGTCCTGCTCACCTGCATGGGAGTGCTCTGGGCCGAGAGTTCTGTGAAACCTTTTATGTCACTAAAGAAGACAGTGACGCTGTCATATGATTCCGGTTCCACAGCCTTGCCCTCTTTCAGACGGTCAGCAACAATCCTTTGTAAAACAGAGTGATCTCATATTTTTATCAAGGTCAAACTGAAATCCCTAAAGTCATCAAATTGAACTCAAGCGCCTCATATTTCAATTCGGAAATATTTCATTGTGTTGTAATACCACGTAATAGCGCCCTCTAAGCACTACAATGTATGGGTTGCGTCATGTTCGCTAATGTTACGAGTTTGGGAGAATAAAACAGGATTATTATATTACTGGTGTATAACTGATTCTCTTTCACCATAAAATTTAATGCCATGTAAAAGCCTTCAATACAACGCACTGGTGTCATGTATAGTCCGCTACCAAGGAAACATCGTTTTAAATTTTACAATACGGCTCCGCGCTCGGGCTATATATAGAACGTGCGACCGCGAGTTTCACAGCGCTCTCTACCGTAGGCAAAAAATCGGCGCTTACGGGTGGCAGAAACTTATGGAACGCCAAAGAGGCAAAAACTTGGAGGCAACACATCGATCGTTCTTCTACATCGATCGATTGTTCCCCTACATCGACCGATCGTTCTTCTGCATCGATCGTTCTTCTACATCGATAGATCGTTCTTCTACATCGATCGATCGTTCTTCTGCATCGATCGTTCTTCTACATCGATCGATCGTTCCCCTACATCGATCGATCGTTCTTCTGCATCGATCGTTCTTCTACATCGATAGATCGTTCTTCTACATCGATCGATCGTTCTTCTGCATCGATCGTTCTTCTACATCGATAGATCGTTCTTCTACATCGATCGATCGTTCTTCTACATCGATAGATCGTTCTTCTACATCGATCAATCGTTCCCCTACATCAATCGATCGTTCTTCTGCATCGATCGTTCTTCTACATCGATCAATCGTTCCCCTACATCGATCGATCGTTCTTCTGCATCGATCGTTCTTCTACATCGATCGATCGTTCCCCTACATCGATCGATCTCTTTTGATCGATGAAGAAAGAGCGATGAAAAAAGAGCGATGAACAAAGACCGATGAAGAAAGACCGATGAAGAAAGACCGATGAAGCTACTTCCTTTCTTATGCGATCCCATTTCACGGCCGAAAAAAAATTCTTGCTACGGTGAGAGGGAAATTTGTCAATGCGCATGCATATTTTGAAATCGTCTGCCGAAAAAACAATGTTTTCCGTCTGCTGCGCGGAATAATGGAGTCCGAAAGTATAAACACTGAGGATTTTTTCCTCATTTATTAGTGCAATGGACATTTCTCTCTCATCCTATTGAAGCCCCTTTAATTTCAACAAAGTTGACAAAGAGGGACTATTGTTAAATCTGAATTTGGTCCAAACTTGTTTTTGCAAAAAAAAATAAAAATTCATGAGGACCTTACCGGTAACGGATTGTGCGTGATCTTCTTTCTTGAAGACGGCGGCTACCGATCACCATTTTTCTCCTTTTTAAGCTCATATTGGCCCTTAACCGCAGAATGGCTGCGCATGCGCTGGCCCTTCAACACTTACGTGTTAGACCTTTTTAAGAGTGGAATCATCGCTTACGGAGCCCGTGAAATAGATTCTGTGCGAACGGCGCCTCGCAGGCGCAGAATTCCACAGTAAGCAGCGCCGTGAAATTGGCCTCATGCAGGGCCAAGCCCAATTTCTTAGAGCTGCTTACAGCAGCATTCCGCAGTTCAATGTGTATGTTTTGTACGTACATAGCTCACCATTGAACCTGGTCATAGCTTGGAGTAATAGCGTAGGAATATCCGGTTGTTGTGTTTCGGGTTGTACGACAAGACAAAGCGTAGATTCCAAAGAGAAAGGGATCTGGTTCTTCGGATTTCCCAAGCGCAGAAAGGAGAAAATCGAATGGGTACAGTACATGTATATTGAACATCAGTACGTATTTACAAATGCACAGGTTGGCTCCAAAACACCAACGATGTAATTTATACTACTTATGATGGAAGGGGCCATACTAATAACGGCGATCTCGTGAGCACAGAAAAATTCAGGATATAAGGTCTTTTCACAAAGCACTAAAAATCCCGCTTATATTAGAAACTAATGCCAACAACGATTAAATGGGATTTTCTGAAGAAAAACAAATGAACAAAGCGAGAAAACTTGCGAGATAATGATCATCAAAGTCGCATCCCGGTACCTTTTCAATGGCCCGCTCACACTTCTTGCCAAGGCCATTTGTGCGCATGCGTGCATAATTATGAATTTAATAGTGAAAAGGGCTATAACTCATGACGTTTCATGTCTGAGTTAAGAAACCTCACGAACATTTCAAGGATGCAAGTTGAACCTTACATCTGACATAATCGTGTTTTCCTGGCAAACTATCCAGACGTACATTGTGAGCTGTCAATCTTTCCTTAAATGTTTGGCCACGTCATTCACTGCAAAGGAACAAATTCGACTCGTGTCCAATGTAAGGGCGTTCAGTTATTGCTTTGTTAAACTCAGCAGCACTAGCTGGATTAAATGAACTCTTCACCCAAGCAGGACACGAATTTTCAACAACATCATAACCGGGTGTTAGGATGTAATGCATGGCGGGCAATACAGGATTCATTAATTTTGAGCATTAACACAATGCTGGGCAAGAACAGTAACTGTTGTGGTATAGCCTAATTTTCCATCGTTTTCGTCATTTTCTTCACAATTTAGCTGACCTGACGTTTGCAAGCTGATACTTGCAAAACACAGCAGGCAAATTAGTTGACAAGTTGGCAGCCTTTTCACCGCCATAATACTACCGGTACTGATGACCCGAATGACTTGATAAGCAAAACCAAAACCTACCGATCATAACGACATTTCCAAAATAAATGAATCAATTACCAGGTCCTAACTGGAAGTGAAGTGAAGTTTTTTCAAAGAAAATTGTTTTCCATTTTGTTATTTACCGAGGTAGCAACTCATACAGCAGCGTCTCGGCTCGCTTCTTCTCCTCTAGAAAAGCTGCGGTCCGCTCGCCAACCAACTCCTCTAAATTGTTGGCGTACTGCTCCATCCGACGCAATAGGTTATCCAGGATACATGTATCCAAGTTATTCTCTCTAGAAAAAAAGGTGAATCGAGAATTTTGTATCTGTCACAGTGGGAACCAGCAGCTGAAGTCGTGCGACAATATGAGAATAAGTAAAACCAACACCAAATTGCAATTCCCGTGCCATGCTCTTGCGAACGAAATATGCAAGAAACTTACGAAAGGGACACACACTACCAATAATATAACATTCCTGGATGTGTACATAGTTCATCAGTATGTCTCTATTTGTCCGTCAAAAGGCGTAGATCGTGATGGAATCGGGCAATATTACCCCCACACTTTAACCAGGAATGGGCCATATCGAAACATCAGCACTACTTCTTTACCTTAAAAGCAGATCATACAATCGATACTGCTTGTGATATGTGTTTGGCGTGTAGGTTATACCTACTTCTCTTCCAGTCTAACATATTTGCTGATTTCATCATCTCCTCCTAGTAAAGTCACATCTACGTCCTTGTTGCTGTCGTTAGCTTTAAGTTTTTCTTCCCACATCCCATAAGGACAATATTCTCTTAGACCATCTTCCAGTGTTCGGATATTTAGAGTCAACTGATTGAAATTTCGAATTTAAAGTTATAGCTCCCATCGTGTAATTATTACGGAAAGGAGTCTAGTAGAAGTAAATTGTGTTCTATTTTATGAACTTTTCCTGTGTCTCTCATTGTCACCAGATGAAATTTGATCTTCCCATTTCAAAGACGCAGCACAATGTCTATCGATACAATTCGGCTGGCACTCCTTTCGAACCATCCCCCATCCTGAGGCTAGTTCGACATGGGAGTCGTGCCAGCCTGGAAAGTTTGCAACAGAGCTGTATAGGCCTATAGTAACCGAGAGACCAATTACTTATATAGAGACCACGGCAGTGCAAATGTACGGTGTTCAAACTGTCTTCTTGATTTTATTACATGTACTAATAAAAGTAAGCTTTCGGGTCCTGAAAATTCTAATTGTTGCGGGATCATTCGACACAAGGTGCACTGTCCAAATTTCACAGGCCCTGACATGTTACCGCTTGTAACCCTTGCGCGGATCGTGAACCAATTATTTCTCGGTGGGGAAAGATGTTTGGGGACAAAACGTTCCGAAAATTCTATATGTATTCCATTTAACCTAACAAATGAGAATACATTTGGGGCCTTTCTTACAAATATTTGGAAAGAAATGAAATAGTAAAAGAATCGCCCAGTTCTCATTACTTTTACTTGTCAAAAACTAAAAATATGTCTGTGCTTTTGGTGGGCAAGGCTTTGTGGTCCCCCATTTCCGGTTCCATTGGCTACTTTCTTTGCAGTGAATCACATTTTCTTGGAATCTTCAATTGATGGATTTATTCGAAATATTAACGCGACTCATTTCTTCCATGTCATAGAGGTGCACGCAGAATGTATGCGCACTAATGAAGCTTCCCAAATATTGAGAAGTGTGTTAGCCTATCCCAGCATCGATAGCTGCAGTGGGGACAACCAAAGGAATGGGACTGCATTTTAAAATCGATTACGGTGTTGTTGGTAGCCTCTGTTGCCGGAAGTTAGTTGAAAGATACCAACCAAACTGATGCTCCAACGCGCATACCACTCGCAGGTCGGGGAGGAAAATAACAAAGCAACATGATCGTGACTCTAAAACCCAACCTGTTGATTTTACTCATTGAGACATGAAGCGAGTTGGCTGTTGGTCTCTCCTGAGGGTTCTCTGCCCAGCATGCCTGAAACATTTCAACGATCGTTGTGTGGACATCCTCAATTCGAACTGAAGGACGGAACGGTGCTCCGTTGGCCGCTGGGTATTTTATTTTTTCCACTACATCTGTTAAGAAGGAAATAACCTTGGTCAAGGCGTTCGTCATTCGTCACAGCGCAGCGCGCACCAGCCGCTCGCTGACCTAGAGGGCGTATTTGAAACCCCATTCTCATGGGACTCACGAACAGCGCTCTTCGGTCGTTGATTATGAAGTGCAAAAGGAGTTCAGCTGCGCTGAAGGTCAAGATAGCAGTCGCCATTTTGACACCAAATGAATTAAAAGATGGCATGACATTTACCATCTCACATTAAATAAAAACCCTAAATATCCATATTAAATGGTCAGGGTAAATTTTCTCCAATAGCCATGAGTATTTGGCCTGGATTTTATTTTCCTTATTGAGAGTGTTTTTTGTTTTACAAAACCAACAGTAAGTTACAGTATGTGCCTATATCCGCCATCTTAAATTTGTTCTTGATGTTCTTCATCTACTCCCCAGAAAGTGGGAGTGAGAATCTTGCTCGCGAACAATGTTCGCGTGTTGATTCTTCCCCTTCGAAACCCGTTTTCGTGTTCGTCTAACACGAGAACGGGCTTTCGCTGCCACATAATAACTGCATAATTCAAGTCGGGCCGTAAGGTGGAAGGTTAACTGAACGCACACGTGGCTATACACGTACATAAGTCAACAATACTTATTTTGCCAGCTGATCAGAGTAATCGGAGATCAAGTTCGCCTTTGCTTTGCTTTGCTTTACTGATTGTGATTGATTTTTTTCCAACCATTTAAATTAGTGGACAAACAATATCTGGCTTTCCGTCTCGGAAGGTCCGCCATTTTACATGGTTATCATGCATGCCAGGTCATGCTGATGCATTATGCATATATCTACTTAGCTGCAATTGGTCACTGTGTACTCATCGCACGCCTGCATCTATCC